TGAATTATACACTCCGTCTGATGAGGTCTATTACCTCACCAACAAGTGCTTTAGAAAAACTTCTGTTTAAGAACGTAGGGATTCATTCCCCTAGCGTCTTCTAGCTGTGGTTGCGCTACCACCATTAGGTCCTCAATTATCGAATATACAGCCGATCTAGGATCATTGTGTTGCCCTGTGTAGGCAACTGGATTTCTCTTAGTTGGATGTTGTCCTCTATGCATACAACCATGTCTTAATCTACTCATCTTCTTTAATTGGTAGAACTTTGAATCTCATGAGCATCCGCAATGCCGCCGACAGCTTCATCCAAAGTGTGATTAGACGTCACACTATGATCTCGTGCAGTCTTCATAACGGCCGTACATCAAGTGAGACCATTGCACTCCCCTATTCGGTTTGACACTGACAGCTGAATCTTGGATCGTACCTTCTGAGCTAGGGTCGCCCTAGGATGACATCAAATTTGTCATCCAAATCGAGTACGATAAAATCATCATCGTACTGCGAATCTTCTATCGTTCGTTAAATTCTTACAGCACGTTTTATCGCTGTTATTGATGCGACTGTTGCAAGGAGCACAGCCATCCTCGTCAAAAGGATACCGCGTATAACAAGATTATGCCTACGGGTCTCTAGCGACTGGAGACGAGCAAAGTTGTTAGCGCTCCACAGTCAACTAAGGTGCGAGACGAAAATTCTTTGCCACTTCTATGTTCAAGATGATGAGGGTATCTCATCGCCATGTTCAGAGACACACCAGGATTATGATTCTGGAGAAATTATCATTAAGAGGTTTGCAAATTCTTTTAAGGTTGCTCGATCAGTAGGGTGCTCCATTCCTTGTGACCCCAACGGTTTTTTGACGGTCCGCCACGCTCTTGTGAATTCGCAACAGCGTCGGATTCTTGCCCGTTGCCCTTCTTGGCACACGGTCGATCAATTTGCATAGTAAATGGGACGCTGGGCGTGTCTACACTCGTAGGCGTAGTGCTCTAACTTTCGATAGTGATTTCACTTTTGCAATCGACTACTATTTGTAGAGCGAGGTCTTTCGCTTTTAACACTGCAGACATCTATTGGTTTTTGGACCTCCCTCCTCTACTCGTCTTAAAGGCTTATATTTGTTCAAGCTAGTGTAATCCTGTCTTACACTTAAGTACTCTTGCATCGCAGTCGTAATCTCTTTCTCAAGCAACTTAGGACTGTTACGGAACAGGTAATTCCTAGCAAGGCTATGTGTAAGGCCCTGTAACAATATCGTGATCAACACTAATTCACTTACAGGGTTCGCTACCAAGCAACTTGCAAGGTGACGAACGTGCTGAGCGTAAGCGTATGTGTCACGCTTGCCTTGTTTTATCCTTAGGAGATTCGAAAGAGTTCCCGACCTCATCTCATTGCGGCTTTAGACTGTTGGCTGATCAAAGTTCTAGAGACCGCCAGCGATCCAAACACGCTTAAATCGTGTTATAAGAGATTCAAGCCCAGATTCTGGTAGGCCTTGAAAAATTCGATTCGGCAAATGCGACTTGTGTTCCTTCATTGTCAAAGTGGCAAGCCTAAATTACATCATCCACTTCGAGATTCCATCTCAACAGGAATTCTTCTCCGACTCCCTGGTACTTAGAGACTTCTAAGCTTAAATTCTAGCTTCGACGCTGCAGAAGCAGACTTATGCTTTCGCTGTATCAGGAGCTCAGACTCTTAATGATTTGTTGATGCAGCAGGGTCACTTCAGCTCGCGGTGTGTCAAGTTCTTGTTGCAAGAACTTGGCGATGACGGAATGCTGCTGATCCTTCCTTTTAAGGATAGCAGATATCAGACAGCTTCTTCACCAACGGTCGATCTTATTCGTTAGACCACAATCCACTCGACATCATTCAAATAGAAGTAGCTTTCACGGGTGCCGTGAAAGGTGTCGTCGCTTCATCCTCTAACATGTTTATATTGAATGGTTTCTGTGGTCATTAGACGGACTACAAACTGCTACCGGGTGTAACGGGGCACCGGACAAACACACTAGACAACTGGTGTGGAGCTACTATCACCGACAGCAGGGTGAGTGGTGCATCGCTACCTTTGAAAATTACGCAGAGCAAGGGAAAGCAACTAGAAATTTACCAGTTGGTGGTAAAAGTAATACTGTATTATTTGTAATTAAGTCCTAGTCATTCATCGAAATTTTGGTCCTGGCCTGATTGTATTTATCTGCAACAATGTATGCTAGCGTCTTGCTCACCACTCATTGCGCGCGTCCGTCGTTGATTGGTCCGCTAGAGCTGGATAATATGATGACCCATATCAGCCAATCGGTGAGTGCTTCGGTACATTACCCCTTATGGTAATATTCACAAAAACTATTTTACCTTAAAGATGAAATTCTAACTAGCAAGTATCAAAGTCGATTACATCTGACTGGCTCTCTCCATTACAAAAGGGTCAATGAATAATGATCTCGTCCCATAGCGTCCCGCGGAACGGAGCCTTATTTATATAAATTCGTGCAAAACGACGAAGATAGCTCGGAACGAGATAAGTGGCATCTCCGGTCTTTTAAAGGCCCCACACGATTGTTCGGAGCGACCAAAGCGCGACCGTGGGGTATCAAATTTATGCAATGATTGCCTGTGATAAACTTTAATAAAAACATTCGAGGGAAAACTAATCATGAGCTGTCAGATAGCATATGTATGTGGCGCTAAAAGTGAGACTTTTTAATCGCATCTTTCAGAGGTGAATCGCTACACATGGGCACACAAACGAAGTTGTTCAGTTCTGGGCGCGGTATTCCGAACCGCACAGCTGTATACAACAGTGTGTGAGTTACCGCTGGAGAAATGATCGCCATCGTTGCGTTCCGCCTTTTGTCGACGATTGCCGTAACGGGGTAGCCCGTTACATGATACTGACATCAACCGTTGTCAATAGGGATTTTGTCCGGCATGACAATATCCTACCAATATTATCAGAGATGGATAATATTGACGGAATATTATCCCCCTTTCGGATAATATTTATGCGCTGCTCAAAGATTGTTTGAGAAAAGACATACCAGCCATAGATTGTCACCAATCGCTGCTAGGCGCGCGCAATGAGTGGTGAGCAGGTTGTCGTCATACGACGACGTAGTTTAATATAGTTAGATAAAGAATAAACTTATATTGATAGCTTGACTATATTAAATAAAGTTCTCTTTTTACCCTTTCCTCAACATAGTTGTTGAGTCGATTAGCTTCCTCTGCACGTATTAGTGTACGTGAAGTTTCGTGGCACCCGATCAATGGGTACCCCATTACAATTGCAGCTACCTTTTGGTGGTGATATAATGGCGCACATCATCCAAAAATCGAGTCTGATGGATCTGGTGGTCTATCTGCATAACGAGACAGCGGATGAGAGCCGGCGAATCATGTACGATCAGGAAAATATTGACAGCTGTATTTTAGGGCTCAAAAACTTGTGGACTTTAACAATCATGAGTATCAATGACACGACAGCACAAAGGCTACAAACTATGTCTGAGCCAAGGCATTGAGCGACGATGTACTTAAACCAGTAGACCACTACATCCCGTGTGGTGAACCACGTACATCCACCTAATCATTCGTAATAGCGGCATTGCTAACCCGTCTTGAAAAGGACGTACGTCTTACATCATGTACGCAAAAGTCTGTCCATTATTCTCTGCTTATCGAGTCGAGTCCTCAATGCTTGAGCGCTCGAACACTATCAAGGTTTTACGATGCGTCACCGCGGATACATAGGGCAAAGCGGTAGGTCGACCAATTTAGTATATTACTCGACAAGTGGTTTAACAAGTCAAGTAGTCGAGCATGTGTGGCCTGTGTCATTTCACATGTTCCTAGTTCCATAGGCCAGACAAGCACGACAAGCTGCGATCCATTCTTTACAGATACCTGATCATTGTAGGATAAGCAACGTACTACGTATTCGCGACACGACAGTGAGCGTTTATAATCAACGTCAAAGATAAACCCTCATTATCTTCTATTCCAAATCTTTTGTGACGTTTTTACAAACTGAAGTTGTATCGGAAATCCTTTCACCGTCGTGATTTTGGAGCGTTTTGACACACTACATGTGCATACACCATCAACTGCAAGCTGAAAATCGTGCCTTACCGCACGATGTCCCACGTATTGGCAAGCACGAAACCGTACAACGTACTTGCAGCCTTTTGCGATGGTTGACGTTTGTCGATGTATAGAAGGAACGGTTGTACTGAGCTACAAGACACAATAAATCCATCTGCACAGCGTCATTAGTTCCACCTGTTTTCCTTGCTTGATTGTATACGACCAATGTTCTTCATAGTACGAGATAAGACAGGGACTGCATAGGGTGTTGGAGCCAAGCGTGTACGAATTCCTGTTCATCTATAGCGAAACAGATGCACGTCTAAACATATTTGTAGATTAAGGGGAGCTGCTGTTGTAGCATAGACAGCCATGGCTAGAATTTGTAAACGACTGTAAACAGACATACTTTCCGCCTTACAAGGGCAGCGCCATATCGCCTTATTATCTGACAAAACGCGGACGATGGTTGTAGCGGAGGCGCTCGTTTCAGAATGGCTTTCGACGTCGTTTATGCACACGGTGTGCAATCCCGCTCCAGAATGTATTGCGGTTGACGTCGTCTCACGCACTCATTGCACCGTGCGTCTGTCGTGGCGCGTCTTCGTTGGTTGATATAATGGCCTATATCAACCAATTAGGAACTACTTGGAAGTGCTACCGAATATTGTCCTTATGACAATATTCTGAGAATATAACTCTTATAGTTATATTCTATTAACAATTTCTTATAAATTGTTATGTAACGATTCACCCCGTTACATCACCCCCCCTTAACCATCAGTCACTTTAGTGACTGATTGACTAAATGGATACTCGTCCCAAATCATTTGGGACGGGGTTTGCACTTGTTGGTCCGCGTCCACTTTCCAACATCTCATCGCATGGTAAACAAGCCCATGCGATGCGCGAGCAAGGCCGCCGAGAGCGCGTCTGCACGTCTCTGTGCGGACGCCGAAGCAGAAACTACAGCAACTGATATCCCATCGGTTGCTGAATCGACTCAGCCTGTATCACCTGGTGATGCAGGCGCTGATCATGAAGACACTCGTGTCTTCACAGAGTACGAGCTCGGTGTCTCGTACTCTCCTGATACGGATGACGGATCCGTATCGACGGCAATTGAATCCAAGCCGCCTGCCAAGCGTGGCATGGACGATGCTTTGCGTCGCAGCATCTTTGGTTCATCTGATGAGTCAGATGAACCATCGCCGAAGCGAAGGCGCTCGAGGTCGCGAGACTCGGGCGCTAATAGTGGTGTCGTTTCTCCAATGGACACCACTTCACAGCGAGGTGCCAGTACTTCTGTCGGCACGTCGCAGGAAGAGCGGGACCGCAATGTGTTGCGTCTCGCTCCAGAAAAGAAGGCATGGATGCCTCCTAAATCTGTCATGGATCACTTGTCGGCGACGACGAGTGATCGTTATCGAACACGATTGTTCGATTCGTCAAGGATCCATCACCTTGACCCCAGCGCGAAAGACTATCGCGCTGAACATGAAGTTCTTCATCGATGCTTTCTTCAGACATCGATGGTACAGTGGGAATCACAAACGTGATGGTCCCTCACTACTTCAGGCGTGGAACGCCTACATCCATAATCTCGAGGATGTAGGTCGTGACGCTTGGAACGACAAACTTATCAAAGCTCGTGATAAGTTTGAAAAGCGAACCCCGACAGGTGCACGCTACAAGCTGCATCGTCTGTCAAGGGAGAAGGGATTACCCTGCCTCTCTTGGGGAGACTCGTGCCCATGTTGTGTGAACAACTCTGCGCTCGCGCCTACGGAGGCTTGCCTCCTTACCAGCCCGTGGTGGCGCGTACGTGTCTCTACTGAGATGTACGAAGGGATTGACAACCTGAAATCCCTTTACGACCGTGCCGGGAAGACTTTCTCCGGCGGTCCTTCTGCGGCACAGGATGTGCCGCGTCGAACTGCTCAACCAGACCCAGTACGTCAACCATCAATTGGGAGCGGGGCTCCCAAGAATCCCAGGACGGGGGATAGCCGCGCCACCGGACGAGGTAACTCGTCCGACGTCCGTTCACGTCGCGGTGGTTCAACAGCTGCTCTACTAGATAGCGCTGGCCACCGCGAGAGTCCTCTAATGGAGGTGGAGGAGGAGGAAAGACGCTCTCCACACGATCATGTGGATCGGTGTGTTCCCGAGAGCTTCTTTTTGATCGCGTAACGCAAGGGTTACGCGACGATCTCGAGCATGAGCGGAATAGGCGTCTCCAGATGGTGGACACTGCCTCGAAGCATCGAGCTGAGTTTGCCTTTGCTCAGCTTGAGAACGAGAGATCTCTGACATCTCTTCGTGACGAGCTAAGGGTAGCTCGTGGGATTGTTGATCGGTCTCGGGCTGAGATAGCTGCTCTTCAGACCCTTGTTGATGCCCACCATCGGGAGCACAAGGCTCTCTGCGAGATGCTTGAGCGCAAGGGCGTTCTTCATCGGAAGAAGCAGCGTACTGATGGTACGGCTTAAGCCGACCAACGTAAAACGTGGGATGCGTTCGCATCTTACGTGGTAACTCGATCGTGTATGCATTGCCTAGGCGGTGCAATACACGAAATGGGCCAATGTACTTGGGTAGTAGTTTACTGCTACCCAAGTTAGTCACTACATGTTTTGGTAGATTAACCGTAGACAGTAGGACTAAGTCACCTTTATTAAATAAAAGAGTGTTTGCCCTTCCATTCTTGTCAGCGTTTTGCTTTTGCTTATCCACCGCTTCGGCGATGGAGTCTTGCACAAAACGGACTACCGTTTCACGAGCCAGTATGAACTCATCTGATGACTCGTTAGCTTCAGTGTGCTGTGAGCGCACTGCAGCGACAACAACCTTTTCTTCAGTGAGGGCTTCCGCACTCTCACTGGGATCATTGTCTTCAGTGAGGGCTTCCGCACTCTCACTGGCATCATCTTCTTCGATATCGATGTTATCGATATCGGCGTCAAACGCAATGACTTCTTCGTCAGAGCGTGATGAGCGTGAACCAAATCGGTTTTTGCTCGCGCGAGTCCCTCCCCCCCTTAAGCCAGAGTTACACTCTAGTAAGGTGGGTACACGCGGATGGCGCAAGCCATTCACGTAAAACGGTGTATGTGTCGTGGACGCATGCACCGAGTTGTTGATGGCAAACTCTACCATTGGCAAAAACTCACTCCAACTTTTAAAGGAGTGTACGTATCCTCGAAGTATCTCTTCGAGGACACGGTTGGCACGTTCCGTCTGACCATCTGACTCTGGATGATCAGATGTTGACATCTTCAAGCGCGTTCCGAGTGATTTGAACACGGAACGCCAGAAATCAGCAGTGAATCGTGGATCTCTGTCTGATACGAGTTCACGGGGCAACCCATGAAGTCGGAAGATGGTGTCAATAAAGACACAAGCACAGCCACTTGCCGTGATTGTCTCTGGTACAGCCACAAGGTGTACCATTTTGCTGAATCTGTCAACAAATACGAGAATACCCGTATTCCCGCGTGCGTCTTTGGGTAACCCGAAGACGAAATCCATTGAGATGGATTCCCAGCACTCAGCCGGAACCGGTAGAGGCTGTAAAGGTGCACGCAGTGAAGGACTTGACTTCACTCGTTGGCAGACTTCGCATGCGCGAACATACTTTCGCACAAACTGATACTGGCGGGGCCAGTAAAAGTCTCGACTTACCGTGAGATATGTTTTCTCTCGGCCACGATGTCCTCCTATAGGAGCATCGTGATACTCGAACATGATCCGCAAACGCAGATCAGTATCATCTGGAATGACAACACGTGGTGTGTCACCAGAAACGGCTGTATAGTACAGTAAACCGTTACGAGTAGTGTATCGATCTGATGCAGATCGATACGCGAGACGACAATCGTTTCAACGATTCTCGAGATGGTTGGGAGAGATGTGACAACAACTTCACTATCTCACCATCTTGGGCGTATGCCCGCCTCACATCATCATACAACGTTGTAGATGGAACTGAGGACGTCATAACCGCAACAGTGACTGTCTCACTGTTGGGTTTCGCGACTGTTTCAAAGTCGGGACGACGTGAGAGTGCATCAGCGACGACATTAAGTCGTCCTGGTTTGTACTCGACCGTAAAGTTGTATTCTGCAAAGAATGACAACCACCGCGCCATTCGTTGTGAAAGGTGCGGGCTGTTCACTGCCGTGCGTAAGGACGCATGGTCAGTGTAAACAACGAAGGGTCTATCTCCTAATAGATAGACTCTGAACTTCGCGAGTGCATACTTCATGGCAAGGAGTTCCTTGTCATGCACTGGATAGTTCCGCTCAGCTGGTTGCAGCTGACGCGACTGATAGCAGACGACGCGTTCAACGCCTTCAAGGTCGTACTGCATTAATGCACAGCCGATTGCGAAATCGCTGGCATCACAGACCACATGAAATGGCCTGTCCTGATCGGCTATTGCTAGGACTGGGGATTGTATCAAGCTCTGCTTGATACCCTCAAAGGAGCGTTGACATTCAGCGTTCCATAACCACCTCTCGTTCTTTTTCAACAAACGAGAGAGGTGTACAGTCATCTCGGCGTAATTGCGTGAATACTTATGCAAATACGCCGCTAGCCTAAGGAATTATCGAAGACCTTTGACATCGACCGGCACGGGCCAGTCGGTGATCGCCTTGATCTTTTCGGGATCAGGACGTACACCGTTCTTACCAACGATGCACCCAAGAAGTGGTATTTCGCTTGCTGCAAATATACACTTCTTGAGGTTTGCATACAATTGATGCTTTCGCATGATTGTAAGAACTTGTCGGACGTGGTACTTGTGAACCTCAACGTCCGACTTTCCATCCATAGCCCGACTATGTCTGAATACGTCATCGAAATAACTCGGCGCGAATTCTCGTACTGGCCTCAACAGATGTGATACACACCTGTTGAACGTGGCAGGGGCATTACTGAGCCCTTGTGGCATTACTAGCCATTCCCAGAGCATGCCGCTAGGCGTGCTAACTGCGGTATAGGGTATATCCCGTTCCCGCATTAGGATTTGATAGAAGCCATCCATCAAATCCATGGACGAAAAGATGGTACTCTTTGACATACCATCAATGATTACGTCCTTCCTCGGTATCGGCGTCTGAGCCGGTACCGTTGCAGCGTTCAATTTGTTGAACGCGTGCACTATCCGCCACCCTCCTGTTGCTTTTCGCACACAGAAGGTCGGAGAGCTATGTGGGGAAGTTGATTCCCTCACATGGCCCGCTGCTAAACGATCGGCAAAGAACTTGTCGATCGCAAGTACTTGTTCACGAGGCAGTGGCCACTGCTTCATGACACAGTACTTCGAGCCTGGTTTAAGCTCGACTTCGTGTCGAATACCTTTATCCTTCGGTAATTCGCACGGAACAGTTTCAGGGAATACATCCTTGAATTCAACCAAATCCTCATAGAGAGGGTTTTCCTTGAGCGATTCCCATGATTGGGACTCATATCGCTCAATTCGTGTCTTTTCATCTAGGACACTCTCGTCCATAGATGAACTACTGAGAACTCTCTCGTTCTCAGTAAACACTGTTGCTGACCTTATGTCGGTTACATACTCGTCGTCAGCGACGAGTATGCAGATCTGCTTGACTTTGCCACTACGCAGATCACGCAAGAACCTTTTATGTTCGAGCGTTGGCAACTGAGTGATCTCCGAAGTTAACTTCGGAGGCGCAATCAGATCAAGTGTATAAGCGCCTACACATGATCCGTTATTGACTATGACATTCAATGTCTCTGTCATTTCCTGGGGACTTATTCCCTCAGGCTTCGAAGGACTTATTCCTTCGTCTTCCCGGGGACTTATTCCCGCGGGTTTCGGGGAACTTATTTCCGCCGTATTTGTAATCTTGGGACTTATTCCCTTTACTTCCTCTAGCTGGGGTTGCGCAACCACAGCGAGATCCTCTACGAAAGACTCTCCAGTCGATCTAGGATTATCGTTTCGCTTAACCTGAGCGATCGATTGTTTCTCTTCTAGATGTTCCCCTCTAGGGATACATCTTTGTCCCAGTCCACCCGACTTATTCGAGTGGTGGACCTTCGGCGCAGCCTGTGTTTCCTCACAGCCGCCGGAACTTTGCTCCGAAGTGTAACCGTTTGGTACACTAAGGTTTTGTGCAGTCGTACTAACGACCGTACCACAAGTGAGGCCATCGCACTCACTCGTAGTACATCCACACGCTTGTGGACTCTCCAAAACGTTCATCAGATGGCCATCTGATGAACAAGCGGCAGGCATCGTTACTGTCCGATGTTGCCAGTTTACCCGTGGTTCGTACCTTCTGAGCCACGGTATTCCAAGGATGACATCAAATTTGTCATCCAAATCCAATACGATAAAGTCATCGTCATATTGGGTATCTTCTAGCGTATAGTGAATCTTCACTATACGCTTCATGACGGTTACGGATGCGCCTGTCGCAAGACGTACCGTCATCCTCGTAGGAGGTGTGTCACATTCACTGAATTTAAAGTGACCATCTTCTAGCGATTGGCGTCGCACAAAATTGTTGGACGCCCCACAATCGACTAGAGCTCGAAGGGACAACTTATTCGTCACTTCGAGTTTCAAAGGTAATGAGTGAGATCTCATTACCTAGAGCAGCAACGCACAATGTCTGTGTGTTGGGAGCAACCTTCATCAAGAGGCCTACAAATTCTCTTGACGTTGCTGGACCAGTAGGGTGCTCCGCACCTACTGATCCTGTCCGTTTTTTGACGGTCCATCCCGTTGTTGCGTCTTTGCACCAACTGCGGACCCTCGTCCCTGCCCCTTTCTCATGGGTGGACGGTCACTACGCCCAGTGTCGCGAGACACTGGACGAGGGGCACTACACTCGTAAGCGTAGTGTCCTGTCTTTTGACATCTGTTGCATCTCTGCAACTTCTTGTAGCCTGTAGAGCGAGCCTTCTCGCTCTCTACATAACAGAGTTCCATCGGCTCTGGACCTCCGTTGTCATATCGTCTCGGTTGACGATATGATGTCGAGCTGGCGCGAGCCTGTCTCAGACTGAAGTCTTCCTGCTCCGCAATGGAAATGGCTTGTTCTAGTGAATCTAGTTCAAGCCGGAACAGGTGAGTCTTGACGGGACCATCCGCAAGACCCTGCATGAACACCGAAACCAACGTGTGTTCATCCACCGGATTGGAACTTATACAACTCGTGAGATGTCGTATATGTTGAGCGTAAGCGTGCACATCACGCTTACCCTGCTTGAGCTTCAAGAGTTCGGTTCGAGCTCTGAACTCAGCTCTGGGCGGTTCAAACGTTTGTCTGAGCCGCGACTTGAAGACTTCCAACGACCCAAACGCATATGGGTCGTGCAGCTTGAGCCCCAGTGCCCAAGTCTTGGCACGTCCTGCCAGATTTGACTGGGCAAATGCAACTTGCATATCCCCGTCGTCGATGCGACGCGCCCTTATAGCGTCGTCCAATTCGACGAACCATCTCAAGAGGGAGTCTTCTTCGACCCCCCTATACTTTGAGATGTCAATCTTCAAAGTCTCGGGCCGACGCGAGTGCATCGACCCGCCAGCAGCAGCCTGCTGCTGTCTCAACAGTTCAAACTGTTGAGCACCTTGTTCTCTCAACAACTCTGCTTGTTGAGAACCTTGTTGGTGAAGCAAGGCTACTTTCTCGCGTTCTGCGTCAAGTTCATTTTGAATGAACTTGGCGATAGTAGCATGTTGGGCATCTCTATTGAGAGCCTCTAGCATGACGCTAACAGCATGGATGCCCATGGTCGAACCCATTCGTTCAACCGCATCCCATTCTACATCGCTCAAATGGGAGTAGCCGTCACGCGTAGCGTGAAAGCTTTGGTCATCTTCATCATCCAACATATTCATGTTGGATGTGAACGCGGTCCTTGGACGGACTACAAAGTGCTACCAGGTGTAACGGGGCACCCTGAAGCTTGTACTGGTGACAGTACAAGCTACTTATTCTGATAACAGAATAAGGCGGTGCCTCGTAACTTCACGTACACTCGTACGTGCAGAGGAAGACGGTAAGAAGAAGCGAGTACTCGGTTAGAGTAAAAAGTAGAACTGTATTTATAATAGTTAATGTCTGCAATAAATCACTATTTATCTTCATCTAACTATGTCTAAATACAAATGTGTAAATCAGTTATCTGCTCACCACTCATTGCGTGCGTCTGTCGTGGCGCGTCTTCGTTGGTTGATATAATGGCCTATATCAACCAATTAGGAACTACTTGGAAGTGCTACCGAATATTGTCCTTATGACAATATTCTGAGAATATAACTCTTATAGTTATATTCTATTAACAATTTCTTATAAATTGTTATGTAACGATTCACCCCGTTACAACGTCTAAACATATTTGTAGATTAAGGGGGAGCTGCTGTTGTAGCATAGACAGCCATGGCTAGAATTTGTAAACGACTGTAAACAGACATACTTTCCGCCTTACAAGGGCAGCGCCATATCGCCTTATTATCTGACAAAACGCGGACGATGGTTGTAGCGGAGGCGCTCGTTTCAGAATGGCTTTCGACGTCGTTTATGCACACGGTGTGCAATCCCGCTCCAGAATGATTGCGGTTGACGTCGTCTACGCGCACGTTGCACAATCCCGCTCCAGAATGGTTGCGGACGGACCGCATAAGAGCACGTTGTGCAATCCATCGAGTTTAGTCCCAGTTGAAATCGAGAAAGAATTATCCATGGAATCCAAAAGGCTTAGAGTAGCAGCTTGTGTGTGAACTAAGGACCTAATGCAATCACTTTTGTATTTTCCATCAAGGCATTACATCCCAGGCACCACATCTGGTAGCACTTGTTGGTCAGAAGACCCGACCCACACGCAAACCCTGAACCCGACCCACACGCAAACCCTGAACCCGACCCGACCCCGATCTGACTGCAAAACAGCTGGGCGACAAGTTTTGTGCACGCCATGAGCGGGCCGTCAAATGCTGAGCTCATGCAAAGCATGCTGGCGATGATGTCGCAGCAACAAGAAATGATGAGAAAGATTGCGGAAGCTACAACACTTAAGGACTTACATTTGGACGCAGTGAAGGCTCCCCGGTATGGAGGGCAAGTACAAGAATCGTTTGCGCTTTTTAAAGAACAAGTACAGCAGTACTTTACGGTGAGGCGTGTCAATTGGAAGTGCGCGACGATGGCAGCTACAATCATTCCAACCATTGGAAGCATGCTCGTAGGCACTGCAGCGGAATGGTTTGTTTGGTCCAGAAGTAGGATCACGACTGTGGATGAACTCTTTTTTCATCTGGAGCAAGAGTTCGTACCAGCAGACCTTCAGATACGTCTCCGTGACCAGCTTCGAAACCTGGATCAGGGTCAATGCCGGGACCTTGGGGAGTTTGTTAATCGCTTCCGACAGCTGATGATTCAGGTCCGAAATATGAGTGATGTCGACTCCATTTTCTATTTTACTCAGGGATTAAAGAACAAACTCGCGCCGAAGTCGAGTATAGACGATGCTCATCTTTAAGTCAAGCGATCAATGTTGCTTATGACTTCGAGCGATCGCATTTTGGCGTCGGGACCGCCAGACGCGCGCAGCCGTTTCGAAGACAAGAAATAAGGCCGCGTCCGCACTTCGAAGATGCCCGGCCAGAGCCTATGGAAATTGATAATGTGCAAGTGGTGTCTAAGGAGGAATGCTTCCAGCGCAAATTGTGCTTCTATTGTAAACAGCCAGGACATCGACTCGCAGAATGTCCGACGAGGCCACGAAAACAGAGCTCATCGCGACCGAATGTGAAAATCAGCATGATTGATAGTGTGCAAGAAACAAAAGAAGAAGATGAAAGTGGGATCGTGTTCGATCAATACACTATCAACGCTGTTGAAGTACACTTGGCCGATCAACAGCCTACTTTGCTGCGTAAACGCGGTTTAATTGATGGTGTGCAAGTGACAATCTTATTGGATTGTGGAGCTTTGACCAACGTGATTCGTCCAGGCCTTGCGTCACGAGTCATCAGTAAACATCGGGGCCAGCTGAAGAGGTTTGATGGCTCTCTAACCCCGCCAGCCGAGTTATCGACAGTTGAAGCAACTGTTCGGATGAGTGACATAGAATTTGCCCACATGATTTTTACGGAGAGTCCCTTAGATGCTGATCAGGACGTCATTTTTGGGCTTCCGTGGTTTCGCACGTACGCCCCGCAGGTGGACTGGATCTCCGGTAAAATTCTACACCAACAGGCTCACGCTAACTCAGATGGTATGAACGAGAACGGGTTGGCCCATCCAGATCAGTATAATCTAAGCCCTGTACGAAGTGGACCTTCGCGACAATTGTATGTGAGACGGAACGAATACGCCGAGATTTACATGGTAAAGGTATCTCCTGTTCCCACAAGCGATATCATCCCTGTTTGGGTTTATGATCTTATTTTGGAATATAGCAATGTCTTTCCTGAAACGCTTCCTGATGGTCTCCCGCCGAAACGTGCTGTGCAGTTCGAAGTTGAGATGAAACCGGATGCCATTCCCAGCTCTCGAGCCCCCTTTCGTCTGTCCAAGACGGAGCAAGAAGCGCTCGAGTCCTTCGTGACAGAGAACCTTAAGAAAGGCTGGGTAGAAGTCTCAAACTCACCGTGGGTTTCCAACGTCTTTGGTATACCAAAAAAGAACCATGTTACTGGACAAGCTCCCACCCGGGGTGAGTGGCTTCGGTCGGGAAATTGCTCGCAACCTATTCGCTGGGTTATCGATTATCGATACGTGAATAGTCAGACCAAGATTCCAAAAATTCCTCTGCCTCTCATTGAGGAGCTTTTTGATCAAATGACAGGCTGTACTGTTTACACCGTTATAGACTTGGCTCAAGGATATCATCAGATGCTTGTAAACGAACCCAGTCGTCAATACACGGCTTTTCGGACTCACAAGGAGACATACCAATGGTGTGTTGCGCCTATGGGCTTGGCAGGAATGCCAGGTGTCTGGTCCCGACTTATGCGGGTCCTCTTCGATAAATTTGACTTCGTGGTTGTATACCTTGACGACATTTGCGTCTTTTCCAAGTCGAACGCAGATCACATTCGGCATCTGCGCGAAGTGTTTAAGGTACTGCGCCAAGAGAAGCTCTACGCACATCGGGGAAAGTGCTCTTTTGGCAAGGACAGTGTAGCGTTTTTAGGCCATACAATATCAAAGAATGGCTTGAGTGTGGATCAGCGGAAGACAACAGCTATTGAGCAGATGAAGGCACCAAGCACGCGGAAAGAACTAATGAGCTTTCTTGGATTAGCTGGATACTATCGACGGTTTATCTGTGCTTTCGCACAAATTGCACTACCCCTTACGAAGCTCGTTAAAAAGGAAGTGCGGTGGGAGTGGTCGCACGATCAAGACAAAGCATTTCGCGACTTAAAGGTCGCCCTTCAACAAGCACCTGTGCTTCAGCTACCGAACTTCGCGATCAAGTTTACTGTCACCACAGATGCTTCCGGGTGCTGCATGGGTGGCGTCCTGTCCCAGATCGCGGATGGCAAAGATCACCCCATTGCATTTTACTCTAAGAAGTTTGGGGTTCATGAGCAAGCGTGGCCTGCCCACGAGCAAGAACTATTAGCGATCAAGACGGCTCTTTCCAAATGGCGCCATTACTTACATGGACGTTCTTTCGATGTGTTTACAGACAATACTGCGTGCCGCTGGATGCTTCATCATCCCATTGTTACACCAAAATTGGCTCGAATGTTGACATTTTTCTCGCAATTCGACTTTACGTTGCACCATGTCAAAGGCACCTCCAACGTGGTCGCCGATGCGTTGTCACGGCCGAACGGGGTCACTCCGCTCGCAGACAGTTTATTAGTTTCAATGCCTCGTATTCATAACTGTGGGCAGCAGTGCGTTATTCACGAAAAAACTCTGCGTCGTCACGGTGTCCACTTGGCAGCTCTGTGCGCTCTCTCGCGTCTCGATCAAGACCTTCTGCTCGATGTGCATGACCTTCGGGAGGTGGATAATGTACTTCACCACGTTGGTGTAAATCAGATTCAACAAGTACACGTGCAGGATCAAGTTCAGCACATCGAGTTCGTGGTATCAAGTGTGCACCTCTCCCCTGCGATGAAGAAATCGTTTAAGGTCGGCTACGCGCATGATCAGGAATTTAAGAGTGCTCTCAACAACGTTCATGAGAAGTACGTGTTAAAGAATGAGCTTCTTTATCTGAAAACAAAGCATGCTGTCAATCGACTCTGCGTTCCATCGGACAATCGTTTGATCACCGGTATCCTCCGAGAACATCACGATGGGAACACAGCGGCACATCCAGGAATACGTCGCACTCAGTTAAAGGTGGCGCAATGGTACTTTTGGCCAAACTTGGAACAAGATGTACGCGATTACGTATCAAGCTGTGGTACATGTGTGCGATGGAAGACGAGCACACTGAAGAAAAATGGAAAGCTCATGCCAATACCTATACCAGAAGACTGTTCGGAAGTTGTATCGATGGATTTTATTACGGGACTACCAGTGTCAAGCGGGTTTGACGCGATCATGACTATAGTTGATAAACTATCGAAAGATGTGGTGCCTGGGATGTAATGCCTTGATGGAAAATACAAAAGTGATTGCATTAGGTCCTTAGTTCACACACAAGCTGCTACTCTAAGCCTTTTGGATTCCATGGATAATTCTTTCTCGATTTCAACTGGGACTAAACTCGATGGATTGCACAACGTGCTCTTATGCGGTCCGTCCGCAACCATTCTGGAGCGGGATTGTGCAACGTGCGCGTAGACGACGTCAACCGCAATCATTCTGGAGCGGGATTGCACACCGTGTGCATAAACGACGTCGAAAGCCATTCTGAAACGAGCGCCTCCGCTACATCCTCCCTGAGCGGAGTTCGCGTTGGTGCATTAGGAAGTCTTTTACTAAATCGCGCCAATGAGTAACGTGTCTGATGTTTTTTTCTTTTTCCCAGGTACACTCGTGCTCCGGAAGTCCATGCCACCGGACGAGCCACTCCGGTTGTCTGTTAACCATGCGCTTTTTGACAAGCGCTTCCACAATGTGCAACTCGTCACCGGTGGCTTCATCAAGTATCACTGGTACTGCTTTCGGCACCGGTCGACTGCTAAACCGCACAGGGTTTGGCACAAAGTGGCTTAACAAATCGATGTTGAAGCTCGGGTGCAACTTGAGGAGTGCTCGAGGGAGAGTCAGCTTGGCCACATTCTGGTTGATCATTTTTTTAATCTTGAACGGCCCAATCTTCTTCGCAACTAGCTTTGAATTTGTTGCATCTTGACCGTTGTTGCGATGGCGTAAATTGAGATGTCTAGCGTCAAGCATAACCATGTCCCCAGCATTAAACGTAACACTGCTGCGTTTCCTGTCGTAATGCTCTTTTTGTTTCTTCTGAGCACTCTCTAAGTTCTTCCGTGCAAATTCGATGATCTTCTGTCTTCTGTCTGCAAATTTCTTAGCATACTCGGATATACCGATCTTCGTCACGTTGTCACTGGAGTCGCCTGTTATGGCGTTGTTGCACTTCCGCCCCGTGTCAATTTCGAATGGTGAGAGCTGGGTAGACGTGCTTACCAGTGTAGCGTGCGCAAACTCGATAGTGCCGAGATGCTCTGACCAGTCACTTCCATGGTACGAAACCATACATCGTAGAGCATCTTCCAAAATTAAATTCGTTGTGAAAGGTGCGGGCTGTTCACTGCCGTGCGTAATGACGCATGGTCAGTGTAAACAACGAAGGGTCTATCTCCTAATAGATAGACTCTGAACTTCGCGAGTGCATACTTCATGGCAAGGAGTTCCTTGTCATGCACTGGATAGTTCCGCTCAGCTGGTTGCAGCTGACGCGACTGATAGCAGACGACGCGTTCAACGCCTTCAAGATCGTACTGCATTAATGCACAGCCGATTGCGAAATCGCTGGCATCACAGACCACATGAAATGGCCTATCCTGATCGGCTATTGCTAGGACTGGGGATTGTATCAAGCTCTGCTTGATACCCTCAAAGGAGCGTTGACATTCAGCGTTCCATAACCATTTCTCGTTCTTTTTTAACAAACGAGAGAGGTGCACAGTCATCTCGGCGAAATTGCGTGAATACTTATGCAAATACGCCGCTAGCCCAAGGAATTTTCGAAGACCTTTGACATCGACCGGCACAGGCCAGTCGGTGATCGCCTTGATCTTTTCGGGATCAGGACGTACACCGTTCTTACCAACGATGCACCCAAGAAGTGGTATTTCGCTTGCTGCAAATATACACTTCTTGAGGTTTGCATACAATTGATGCTTTCGCATGATTGTAAGAACTTGTCGGACGTGGTACCTGTGAACCTCAACGTCCGACTTTCCATCCATAGCTCGACTATGGATGAATACGTCATCGCAAGAACTCGGCGCGAATTCTCGTACTGGTCTCAACAGATGTGATACACATCTGTTGAACGTGGCAGGGAAATTACTGAGCCCTTGTGGCATTACTAGCCATTCCCATAGCATGCCGCTAGGCGTGCTAACTGCGGTATAGGGTATATCCCGTTCCCGCATTAGGATTTGATAGAAGCCATCCATCAAATCCATGGACGAAAAGATGGTACTGTTTGACATACCATCAATGATTACGTCCTTCCTCGGTATCGGCGTCTGAGCCGGTACCGTTGCAGCGTTCAATTTGTTGAACGCGTGCACTATCCGCCACCCTCCTGTTGCTTTTCGCAAACAGAAGGTCGGAGAGCTATGTGGGGAAGTTGATTCCCTCACATGGCCCGCTGCTAAACGATCAGCAAAGAACTTGTCGATCGCAAGTACTTGCTCACGAGGCAGTGGCCACTGCTTCATGACACAGTACTTCGAGCCTGGTTTAAGCTCGACTTCGTGTCGAATACCTTTATCCTTCGGTAATTCGCACGGAACAGTTTCAGGGAATACATCCTTGAATTCAACCAAATCTTCATAGAGAGGATTTTTCTTGAGCGATTCCCATGATTGGGAGTCATATCGCTCAATTCGTGTCTTTTCATCTAGGACACTCTCGTCCATAGATGAACTACTGAGAACTCTCTCGTTCTCAGTAAACACTGTTGCTGACCTTATGTCGGCTACACACTCGTCGTCAGCGACGAGTACGTAGATCTGCTTGACTTCGCCACTACGTAGATCACGCAAGAACCTTTTATGTTCGAGCGTTGGCAACTGAGTGATCTCCGAAGTTAACTTCGGAGGCGCAATCAGATCAAGTGTATAAGCGCCTACACTTGATCCGTTATTGACTATGACATTCAATGTCTCTGTCATTTCCTGGGGACTCATTCCCTCAGGCTTCGAAGGACTTATTCCTTCGGCTTCCCGGGGACTTATTCCCGCGGGTTTCGGGGAACTTATTTCTGCCGTATTTGTTATATCGGGACTTATTCCCTTAACTTCCTCTAGCTGGGGTTGCGCAACCACAGCGAGATCCTCTACGAAAGACTCTCCAGTCGATCTAGGATTATCGTTTCGCTTAACCTGAGCGATCGATTGTTTCTCTTCTAGATGTTCCCCTCTAGGGATACATCTTTGTCCCAGTCCACCCGACTTATTCGAGTGGTGGACCTTCGGCGCAGCATGTGTTTCCTCACAGCCGCCGGAACTTTGCTCCGAAGTGTAACCGTTTGGTACACTAAGGTTTTGTGCAGTCGTACTAACGACCGTACCACAAGTGAGGCCATCGCACTCACTCATAGTACATCCACACGCTTGTGGACGCTCCACAACGTTCATCAGATGGCCATCTGATGAACAAGCGGCAGGCATCGTTACTGTCCGATGTTGCCAGTTTACCCGTGGTTCGTACCTTCTGAGCCACGGTATTCCAAGGATGACATCAAATTTGTCATCCAAATCCAATACGATAAAGTCATCGTCATATTGGGTATCTTCTAGCGTATAGTGAAGATTCACTATACGCTTCATGACGGTTACGGATGCGCCCGTCGCAAGACGTACCGTCATCCTCGTAGGAGGTGTGTCACATTCACTGAATTTTAAGTGACCATCTTCTAGCGATTGGCGTCGCACAAAATTGTTGGACGCCCCACAATCGACTAGAGCTCGAAGGGACAACTTATTTTGTCACTTCGAATTTCAAGGTAATGAGTGAGACCTCATTACCTAGAGCAGCAACGCACAACGTTTGTGTGTTGGGAGCAACCTTCATCAAGAGGCCTACAAATTCTCTTGACGTTGCTAGACCAGTAGGGTGCTCCGCACCTACTGATCCTGTCCGTTTTTTGACGGTCCATCCCGTTGTTGCGTCTTTGCACCAACTGCGGACCCTCGTCCCTGCCCCTTTCGCATAAGTGGACGGTCACTACGCCCAGTGTCGCGAGACACTGGACGAGGGGCACTACACTCGTAAGCTTAGTGTCCTGTCTTTTGACATCTTTTGCATCTCTGCAACTTCTTGTAGCCTGTAGAGCGAGCCTTCTCGCTCTCTACATAACAGAGTTCCATCGGCTCTGGACCTCCGTTGTCATATAGTCTCGGTTGACGATATGATGTCGAGCTGGCGCGAGCCTGTCTCAGACTGAAGTCTTCCTGCTCCGCAATGGAAATGGCTTGTTCTAGTGAATCTAGTTTAAGCCGGAACAGGTGAGTCTTGACGGGACCATCCGCAAGACCCTGCATGAACACCGAAACCAGCGTGTTTTTATCCACCGGATTGGAACTTATACAACTCGTGAGATGTCGTATATGTTGCGCGTAAGCGTGCACATCACGCTTACCCTGCTTGAGCTTCAAGAGTTCGGTTCGAGCTCTGAACTCAGCTCTAAGCGGTTCAAACGTTTGTCTGAGCCGCGACTTGAAGACTTCCAACGACCCAAACGCATATGGGTCGTGCAGCTTGAGCCCCAGTGCCCAAGTCTTGGCACGTCCTGCCAGATTTGACTGGGCAAATGCAACTTGCATATCCCCGTCGTCGATGCGACGCGCCCTTATGGCGTCATCCAATTCGACGAACCATCTCAAGAGGGAGTCCTCTTCGACTCCCCTATACTTGGAGATGTCAATCTTCAAGGTCTCGGGTCGACGCGAGTGCATCGACCCACCAGCAGCAGCCTGCTGCTGTCTCAACAGTTCAAACTGTTGAACAACATGTTCTCTCAACAACTCTGCTTGTTGAGAACCTTGTTGGTGAAGCAAGGCTACTTTCTCGCGTTCGGCGTCAAGTTCATTTTGAATGAACTTGGCGATAGTAGCATGTTGGGCATCTCTATTGAGAGCCTCTAGCATGACGCTAACAGCATGGATGCCCATGGTCGAACCCATTCGTTCAACCGCATCCCATTCTACATCGCTCAAACGGGAGTAGCCGTCACGTAGCGTGAAAGCTTTGGTCATCTTCATCATCCAACATATTCATGTTGGATGTGAACGCGGTCCTTGGACGGACTACGAAGTGCTACCAGGTGTAACGGGGCACCCTGAAGCTTGTACTGGTGACAGTACAAGCTACTTATTCTGATAACAGAATAAGGCGGTGCTTCGTAACTTCACGTACACTCGTACGTGCAGAGGAAGACGGTAAGAAGAAGCGAGTACTTGGTTAAAGTAAAAAGTAGAACTGTATTTATAATAGTTAATGTCTGCAATAAATCACTATTTATCTTCATCTAACTATGTCTAAATACAAATGTGTAAATCAGTTATCTGCTCACCACTCATTGCGTGCGTCTGTCGTGGCGCGTCTTCGTTGGTTGATATAATGGCCTATATCAACCAATTAGGAACTACTTGTAAGTGCAACAGAATATTTGTCCTTATGACAATATTCTGAGAATATAACTCTTATAGTCATATTCTATTAACAATTTCTTATAAATTGTTATGTAACGATTCACCCCGTTACATTGTGACCTAGTATTTGTGCAAATGCCATGTGTAAACTAGAAGATCGTGATCCATACGTGGAATCATGCCATTTCCATCAGTCGGTGCACCGGCAAGATCCTTGTGATTGCACTTGCATTTGTTTAGTTGAGATGAGATGAAATCTGCAGGATCAATCGCTATGGTCACGATATCAGTCACTAGAAGCAATTTTCAAACTTTTAAAGCTCTTGGCATCATCACTGATCGTTGTACGCAAAAGATGCGTGCAACTAGATTTTGATTTTGTTGGAAGGTGCAGTGGGTACGTTTAGTTTTATTAACGACCAACGTCTGCCCTCTTAGACGGGACCTACCCCCCCCCTTCCGGATGGCCACTAGTTACTAGATTCTATGGGGCCAGTCAGTCCAGGGCCCCCGACTATTCGTTGCTGGGGGCATATGCTTCTGCGAGAGGCCAAGCTCAGTAACACTGGAGTTTCCGGGTGGTACACTCAGGCTTATGCGTCTTACAATATTAAACGACCTTGTTTAGTCGTACGGGGATCGAACCAGTATCACGTGATTGGAACTGCAGTATTTACTCAAGGCATAAGAGGGCTCTCGTCCGTCGCACCATTTTATACTTTACCAGGTATGTCCGTTATTGAACAGCTTTAAAATGCATTTAACTTTTGAACGGAGTTTCTGCCAGTCTGTTAACGGTCGTTTTAAGAAGACCCTATCACGATAGTGCCACGTGTGGACGATAGTGTTCCACGGTGCATACCCTCGGTCAGTGAGGCGCACAATGCATCTACAAACACGTTTTCGTCTACGAAACCAACTCCTGTTACGTATAAAATTCGTCACGTGTCGGACAGCACGTGAGCGGTGAACAGTCTATTGTAATCTCGCTTTCCAGAAGAATTTTTGAATAGGTGCGTGACCATGCAGTTGTGGCGACGGCTTCTGTTTTATTAAGGATTCAGGCAACTGATAATGTACTACTTCTTGCAATTCTTGCGCAAAACAGGCATGTCGATTGCGCAAAGGTGAAGGATGGTTTGCGAGTAAAAATGAGTCGCATTTCTACAGCTTGTAATCTTTAAAATAATGCTCGTACTCATCGGCTGTCGTTGACCTTGCTTGTCATTCAAATCTATAATTTGCATACGTCAGATAATCATCATTGTTAGAAGAGGAATGGCTACTGTAGTCATTCGTGAAAAATGGTCAGGTGCATATTTATACCGGAAGAACGAAGTGACGGAGATGTCACATACCCAATGTTAATGTGCTACGCCATGTCCTTGGTAGCTTCCCGACCGAATACTGGGTTAGGAACGATGATGAATACGATACAACTTTTTTGCATCTGAATGCCACCCTGTCTAAGAAGTCGCTACTGTACCATGACACACGACAAAGCATTATGCTTCCTTGTCATAAACTTGCGTGAGTTTAGACTGCACAAGTCAACGTATACCGCCATAGACATGAATTTGAAATGAACAGGTTAAAAATAGGCCAATTGATCACAAAAACAGAAATGCCCTACGTCCTATTATTGTGACGGGCACCCTTAGCTTGGGTGCTACGAAACTTCACGTACACTCGTACGTGCAGAGAACGATAAATCTTCGTAAACTACTAGTCTAACTAAAATAATCTTGCGCGCAAAAAGTGTCTACTCGTACGAGCATGGAGAAACGACTCATTCGAATTTTGTCATCACCATGTGATCATTAGCAGCATCACATGTGTCGTACGGACACATATGTACCAATGACGCTAAAGTAGACGTTAATTAGCACCACTATTTCGTTGATCAGCCAGAACCCACCAATAATTGATGTAAATTCATATTCATTTTGACAACCGAGGCAAGTTATTGGCATCAGAGTTTTTATGACGTTTTAAAAGCCATTTGATGTATTTTAACAAGATCTATATGAGTGAAAATATTAAAGTAGACGTCCTGCGTTTGCTCTAAATGGGTGGCAACACTACATTCACGCACTTACATTGTTCATTCTGTGGCTTATTGATCATCAAGAAGGACATGGCTAGATGCTCTCATCCCAAGTAAAGCAGTTACTCGTGCTTCTATTTCCCCTTGGGACTATGAACACAAATTCGGACTGATTGTGTTAATTCACGAGCCGCATATTACCAAGGTAGACAAGAGGTGAATAAGAGCATCGTGCAAAAAGCGTGCTAGTCCACGTCAGGGATGTTGCAAATTTCCGTTGCTTAGCACTCTCATTAGATGACGGCACATTCTTGATCCACGAGGTAACAATGGATTTTTGCTGACACACAATAGATATTTACTTACGGTGGCTCTTTTGCTTGCTTCTTGCTCCTCAAATACCAGACCGCGCGACTTGGCACCTACAAGCGGTGGACAACCTGCCAAGCGAAAGTTCACTACAATGTCTTATCCTTTGGTAACGTTCGTGAGACCCACCTCATCCCCATTCGCCATCCATGATTCTCCCTTGCCTACTTGTCACATTTCCACCAGTCCTTCAAGGTTCAACAGATACATGCCGTAAGAATATTACAACACTTCTCCTACGATGAAAGCGTCGGAACCCTCTACCGACAATTAGGCTCGCATTTCCATTTGTGATCGGAATTTGCGATCGGCATCTGGATAAACTGCTTTTTTGGTAGTGCTTTTGTGAGCATGCCAGCGGGGATCATAGTTCCATCTACTTTGTCAATCCTCAGGATGCCTTTCTTGATATGGTCACGTACGTGATGTTGTTACAATTTAATGTTTCTCGTCTTGCTGCTTTACGTTGAATCATGTGCCAGAGTTATTGCTGTTCAATAGTCCATTCCCATCGTGAGCAAATTTTCACCCTGATACACTAAAAATTTCATCCAACGTGTTTGCTATTCCTTTGACCTCCACCAAAGCTCCGCAGGCTGCAACAGTACCGGCCTCCGACATCGATTTTCTACAATCTTTTGTCTCTTAACAGCCCTTTCAATGCTCTAACATTTTTTTAATTGCATAAATACAGTCAAGCTTCTCCATGAATTATAATCGTTTTCTTAATATGCATCGCAACATCTAGTGATGACAACCTGTTCATTTTTCTTGTTGCCTTGCTCGATTTGTTTGCACATTATCTCCATATTACATGGATCAATACGGTACATAATAACTCTTTTCACAGCACCGAAACTTTTCCATTGATATTGCTCATGAACCGAATCAAAGTACTAACAGATGAAAATGTCAGCTCTTTTACATGCGGACAAGTATATTGATGGCCCGATTGATTTTTTACGGTCAGAGGTATCTATATTCCTGTCTCCATTTGATTCTTCAGGGAACTTGATATATTCCGTATATGTCTCCATCAAAGCTGCGCTGCAACGGGATTAACTAGGTCGAATCATTTTCACCACTTGGTTGCATAATTAAACTGGTAAATGTAGACTATTTCATACTTTGGTCAGCGTAAAATCTCAAGCAAACATGAAATTTAGCACCGTTCTCATGTCCATATTTTTCATTGATAGTCGCAATAACTAATGCCTCATACTCAAATGAAACTGTTGCTGATACCATGTCGTCAAATATAGCAAGAGCAAAACCAGTATCCCATTCTGGCAATAGTTTGATGGCGTGTCGATCGCTCATTTTGTGGTGAAGTAAGTCGTCAAAATTGTTTGACGAGACCGCAAACCACTCACGCTGCCGGACTGCCAACTGTTTGAGAAGTACCCCGATGCCGCTTGTGGACCTTGACTCACCTTGTGTACCCGTCGGCTTGGCGGGTTTCACTCTTCGGAAGACTTGGTGATGACGTGGACGTCGGCATTGATGGAGGTCTCCTGGGGGCGAGCGGATATGCTTTAGTCGGGGTCCAATGTAGGCGGCCACTCGATTAAATTGGTCAAGAGTGGTCTTATAACCATTTGTCTCAGGTGCTGGTGGCGCCTGGCCTTTAATTGTCTCAGGGGCGTTTACCGCCTGGCCTGTACGTGTCTTCTCCCTTACCACTAGGGTATGGAGGCCGCTTCCTATAGCGGGATAGAGTGGGGGGGGGGTTGCTACTCTACGAACTCACAGGTCAATGTACTTCCTAGGGTTCTACTTACGCTTGTGTCTAACTGAAAACTGTCGATTCGATGGGTAGGCCAAACATATCCCTGTCTCGGAACAGGTCGGTAGACTCACAAGTTTCTTAGCGCACGACACGTCGTGCTACTTGGATCCCAAATTGAGTAGTCATTAATGTGATCCTATCTCTTAAACTCGTTACCTCTATACTTGCCTTGCACCTGGGCTCGCTATGATGAGTGGCCAGAAGCCACCAGACCTTGAGAGGCCAAGTCGACCTATGGATGACCAGGTATACCTTCGGGTGACCGAGGTCCACCTTGGGGTACCAGGGCCGACCGACAAGTGGTTGAGGACTATC